GCATGCTTCATCGCAAGTAGCTCCTTGTCATGAACTGGGTAGTTCTTCTCTGCAGCTTCGAGCTGTCGAGATTTGAACGCGATCACCCAGTCTCGCCCCTCGGCGTCTGCTTGCAGCAGTGCACAGCCGATGGCAAACTCCGAAGCGTCACAGTCGACGCTGAAAGGACGATTGGGGTCTGACAGCGCCAGTATCGGGCTGTCTTTGACCCCTTCAAAAGCCTCTTGATGTTCGGTGTTCCAACACCATTCCGCATCCTTTTTAAAATGATTGGATAGTGGCCGGGCCATTTCTGCGTAAGTTACGCTGTACTTGTGTATGTAACTGGCAAGACCAAGCTGCTTACGCAAATCCTTCTGATTCTTTGGAACCGGCCAGTCTACAATGGCCTTGACCTTAGCGGGATCCGCTCGAAGGTCATGCTACCAATGAAGCACTTTAAAAAGGGAGTCTCTTCTGCGCCAAAGATGCACTTGTCTGCGTTGGCGTGCAGTTTGTTCGTGCGCATGCACTCTAGCACCGCTCTTAATGGACGATGTGGTTCTCCTCCTCCGTCCTCCCGTACTCGCACGACTGTGAGCGAAAATGTCGTCAAAGTATGTCTGGGCATACGCTTTGTGGGGCCTGAACAACTGCGTCACAAGACGATTAAATGTTGTTTGCATTTGACAGCTCTTGAGGCATCACCAGCCACTCCCAGATCATGCCCCTCGGAGTGCTCACTGCTGTCAGCGGAATACCACTCGCTCTCATGAGCAATTGGTAATACCCATCGTCCAAGTCGAGTGCACTGTACTTCGTACAACCCACCATGTTGTTCTGAAGAACATCTTTTTAGAAATCGGCGTCTGTGCCGGAATGAGGGCAGCGTTGAGCATTCTAAAAAAGAACAATACGCTACTTGCCGTTCGGCTTCGGCTTCCAAACACAAAACGTGGGTGTCGAATGGAGAGACTTGCTCTCACGTACCATCCCTGCGTCGTGCTTCGCACGGAAAAAGGCGCCAATGACGTCGCACTGCTCTTTGGGCAGGGATCATTGGCGTGTTACGCAGTATTTGGGTCCCGCAACCAGGTCGATCTCATGACGCACACCTCGGTTCGAAGGTAGGTTCGACGGCGGGTCCTTGGAGACGACTTTTTGAAATTCCTTCACCAAAGGATAGTACGGATCCAACGGATCTTTCAGTTGTGCTTTCAGCACCCTCTTAGTGTTCTGAAGTGCTTTATATCCCCTACCCTTTCAATCCTTATAGGTGTTTAAACGAGTTGAAAGCATATGATAGCATTTCTATTATTAAATCTTAATATAAACTGGTTATTTGCCACTGCTTCTAGCTAGGAACGCATCCCATAGTCTATTGTTAGATTTTCGACGCAAAATAATTTTCAGTAAATGAGCATCGATTGATTCTGCCGTTCGTTCTCTTACTAGGATAGTCATCTTCACACTGATCTACATTATTCGTATGAACCTCAGATGTGAATGATTAACAGGGTAATGTTTTAAATATCCAATTTCAGTTACAGAATAATACCCGCGCCAAAGATCAAAATTATTGAAAGAGTAGAAAAAGTTGCTGAAATTTTGCGCTCTGCGCTACGATAAGGATCAGAAACGGCAAATTTTACGAACTTTTGCACGTTTTATCCATACCACCAAGAATCAATACACCTTCTACACAATTCCCACGATAAAATTCTATCTCCCTGTCTTGTTTCGTTGATCTCCACGTCATATCAGGCCCACAAATTTTTGCTGGGTTTTCTATCAGGGGAGTTAGTGACATTATTACTTTAAAAAGTCAGCCACGGCGTGCTTCGAATTCTTTGATATACCTTTATAGATTTGCTTGTGCTCCCTTTCAGGCAAATCAGGAATTAACCAAGGAATGGGAAGACGATGTCCTTGAGAAAATTCTTACGAAGTGGAACGTCCTTGGATCAATTCTTGGTAGAACACCGAACTCTATAGCCTTAGAATAGTATGACATTTGTCTTTTACGCTCTTCACATGTCCATTCCAATCACAGCTCGCCCTTCTTGATCAAAACTTCATACATAAGTCTTCGTTGAAAAACTATCCGTGATCGCATAATTTGAATGGAAGATCCCCTAGGTTTTCCTAATTAATATAGTAGTACCTAATTAATATAGTGATATGCTTCTTGTTACGGTGTAGCCACACCACTGTGTGATTACTCTAACTTGTGTAAAACCCACCTATGTACGATCGCCTTTCAGATCCGTTACAATGTCTCTTGCAGAATCGGTAATGTGGTTCCTTCAAGATAAGGTATGTGTCGGGTCGACTTAATAATGTGGCGTATGCGCTTTTGCGTCACCCAGATAATGAATGAAATGTAGCATGTCGTCACGCATCGGCAAAGCAATTAGTACGACGAACGGTTCAGACCCCACATGACCTGCAATATTTCAGTCCTTGGATAGCAAAAAAGCTAGCTTCATCGAAACGCCTGACAGCGCTTTTGCACCGCTATTCTTTGTCCCAAGACTTGTTGTATCATAATAATGTTCCACGCATTGGTTATGATTACATATAGGACAAAAGAAAAGTGAATTGTAGCATACGTATATTTACACACAAGATCGAAAAACATGGTATCCGTGATGAGCATGCTAAACCACATTTACATTGACGAGCTGTAATATGTGTCATTCTGGGCAGAAACTTGTTTGCTCATTCTTTTTACAAGGACTATCTAACTTTTACCTCATCCTTTTATACGATACTACACACTGCACTTTAGTTTGTAACCTACTACTGATACCAGGGGGTTCGCACTCACTTATCCTATTCTTCTTCACCCATGTATGAACGGCACGGTACTTTACATGATCATCCAAGAATGAAACGTTGGTGGTCGGCCAGCAGATCCCCCAAACGAAATAATTGATGTAGCCGTGGTCGTACATCTTCGACGTCCTGTAAACTGGCTAGCACCTTGGTCAGAGACTCGAGCATTCGATCGCTTGGGTCATCATAAAAGCTCGGCACAGGAATTCCATTGCTGGGCTGCATAAGGAATGACACGGGATTGTTGTCGACAAGTATGACACGAGACAAATCACCGCCGCGCACAACATTTAAATCCTTTAAAAACATACCATTGCGCTGCTTGCACGATTCGCGATAAAAGCGACCGGCAAAAAGATTGCCTCTGGGATCGAGTGCGTCCAAAATTGGCTTGCCATAGGCCTCAAGGCCGGCCGTGAAGACGTATATGTTATAGTGCTTGACTGCTTCCTCAAGGAAGCGGTCAAGACCTGGTCTTTTATTTACTACCGCGCGCTCTCCGTCATTCATGACAATCTCAAACGAGTCGCTGTACTCATTAATCTTCTCTGGGCGGTACTCGCTTTGACGGTATTCGACCTCATTCTGGAATTTGCTGTGCACTAGACACTCATCCATATCAAGCACCAACGCGATGCGCTCCGACGGCGTTCGAACATGAGCAGTGCTGCGCTTCTTAGCGACCGAAACTCCGTCTGCAAGACGTGAGCGTGACACTCGAGGCTCGACAGGGTATTGGACGACGGTGGCGCTCATTATACTTTAATTCGAACGAACTGGAGATGCAACAATTTAGTCCTTGTGGTGCTGGATAATGTAATTGACAGTAATTGGAAAAAGTAGAAGTGAGTGCTATTAGGAGTAATATCTTCTCGTCACGCGCTTTGACAGAAACAGGCGGAGCGGAGTGCTGAAACGGACAGGCGGCGGGCTGGGGACTTGGGGGCAGAATCAACAATGTAGTTTTAGAACTGAATGCCGTGATGAGAGCTACGAAAGTTGAACCATTATTGTACCCTTGGACTATACATCACATTTATGAACACAATAGTAGAAGTAGATGTTCATAAGAAATGCCACAAAGCTAGGGTTTTGAAAAAGCTTTACCGCGTGGGTTGTCAACTGTCACCGGTTGAGGATTGAGCTCACTTTCGCACAGTATGTTCCGTTTTTATTTGGCCAATGAAAGCAATGATGCGTTGCAAAGCCCAACTGCAATGGCGAGTCCCATCTGCGAAAGCAGTGGATCGATGTGCCTAAATAGCGTATAGGATCTCCGCCGTCCTTACGGAGTGATATCGGTCAGGATATAAAAGCGACCGCTGCAAAATCGCCATCAAAACGCATGCTGATCGCTGGCCCTGGCATAGTCAACATAAGGCATTCGACACATGGGTGAATGTATATATAATTACGAGGTTGTCTTGCTCTGACGCATGCGGTGATTAGGGGAAGAGTTTGTAACGGTCAGTAGGTCTTTTATATTAAAATCAAGATAAACAATTTGATACCGTACATGTGGTGCGTACCAGTACGCACGTGTTTAAATTGGCGCGTGATGATTAGCTAAAGCCTGAAACGTTAGTAGATAGCGCAAAGTTCTAGCTGGCCAATCAGCATCGGCAAACATTAAAATGCACTCAGACTCCCGTTCGAAGATTTTGCGCGGTACATGTGTTGTGGCCTGTCCCTTTTTAGGCTCAGCTAACGCACCAAACCGAGACGGAGATCTGGACGTAGTCAAGCGAACTCCTATTGATATGCAGAAGCCCTCTTCCATTGATGTAAGTTGCTACTTTATCTCTATAAGCAAAGCCTCGTTGGGCTGCTGCATCGACAGCCTATTCGCTGGGTGACGTACGCCGATCCGATCGCGTTAGACTTTACTTTTGCTTTTCGAACAATTCAATCAAAGCAGGCGCTTTTTTTGACAGTAATCAAAGCTTGATAGTGGCGAGACTTGTTGGCTGCTGGCAACAGCTGAGGAGGCATCGCCATATGCTGTATTATTTGCAAAACCCGCGTTTTAAGTGATCGTGCCGACAGGCTGACTCGAACAAAACGAGCCCATCTGTTACTTGAAATTCTGTATGTCTAGATGACAGCGGCACTTGAAGGACATAAAACTATCAGATCCCGATGATCACGGCGGGCATCGCAAAGGCCGTGAATGCTAGCTACATCTCCTTCTCGCCTGTAATTGCATAACACGGCTGCGAGAACAAACGAATTGATTGCTCACTCACGTCTATATTTATGGAGGCATGAAGGATGTCATTTGCGTATCAGCCAATTAATTTGGATTAGCAATGTGATGTAGTACACGTCAAAATGTGGTGTATCGCACCTTCACTATTATGTACCTCACATCAAATCAATTCTTTTTCTCGATGACTTAAGCCAATCAAAAACTCGGCACACAATAGCGAAAGCTGAAGAGCTCGTCAACGCGCCACGCAACTCATCTTCTCTGGAAGCGTCGCCTATCTCTACTTCGGGCAACCCACACAACTCTCGAAGACATTTGAAATTTTCTGTATTCCCCAACACCATGGACCCATCTGAAGTGACGGTGCTGGTCGTAGAGGACGATGAGTTTACACGCATGGCCACTCTCGACATCCTCAAGTCGTGTCGCTACACCGTCTTCGCTGTGGAAAATGGCCAACAGGCTCTGGATCTACTTGTGACGAGCCATGCTAAATTTGATCTTGTATTGTGTGACGTCATGCTTCCTGTCATGACAGGAATTGAGCTGTTGGACGAGATCCAGAAGCACAGCGCCACGATGGGCCACATTCCCATCGTCATGACCTCAAGTAATGAGGAAATGGATGTCGTCACATCTTGTCTTAGTAAAGGTGCTAAGGATTATTTGATCAAACCGATCCAGGTAAATACCGCAAAGACCCTTGTGCGTCATGTGTGGCTAAGTCGCCGGCTTGAACGTACCTCGAACAAAAGTATGTGGCAGGACATTGAGGTAGTTCGAACTATTGGAAAGGGCACGCATGGTACAGTGGTGCTGGCACGTCGTAAGCTGGATGGAGCCGTCGTGGCTGTTAAGCGTGTTCGAATCTCGCAAATTTCTGAGAATGGCCGCAAGCAGGCGGACAATGAGGTGATTCTCCTTAAGTCTTTGTACCATGTCAACATCGTGCGTTTTTACGACCACTTTTTAGCCGACGATGAGCTCAACATTGTTATGGAGTACTCGGATGGTGGCAACCTGCGTCAGCTTGTCAAATTGCGTTCGCGCGAAAAGATGGGCCCATTTCCAGAGCCAGTTATCATGAGTTGGTTTGCCCAATTGGTGCTGGCTGTGGCGTACATACACGGCAAAAATGTTCTGCATCGCGATCTAAAGGCACAGAACATTTTTCTGACGCACAAAAATGTCGTTAAACTCGGAGATTTCGGCATTTCTAAGGCATTGGCCGGTGATGATACGGCGAACACGGCGTGTGGTACACCGGAAAGCATGTCGCCGGAGATCTGCCGTGGTGAACCTTATGGCAAAAAGTCGGACATCTGGTCGCTTGGCTGCATATTGTACGAAATGATCATGTTGCGCCGCCCATTTGAAGCTTCAACATTGCCAGAGATTTTTACTAAAATTTGTAAAGGTGAATTTCCACCGATCCTGTCTACGTTCTCACGCGAGCTGCGCCTGCTGGTGCAGCTAATGTTACAGCAGGACGCATCTAAACGCCCATCTATTGAAGATATATGCCGCTTTCCGTTTGTGCAACAACCAATTCAAGCCTTTTTGTCCGAACACGTGGCAGAGTTTCAAGAAGCGTTGGAGCTCGAGGCTAAGTTACACCAGCCATCGCTATACAGCATGGGTGCAGGCAACCCTCCCGTTTCACCGGTATCACCAAGTCTCCGTCGTCGTCATCACAATAGCAGTAGTGAAGCACCGTCGAGTGGCTTCGGTGACGGTGTGACGGAATCAGGCTCACCTGCGTCAATCCGTAGTGATGGATCGAGTAACGCTGGCGCTAACAATTACTGCAATTTGCGCAGCTCTGCCATTGCTTCTGTGGCAATTGGCCTGGCTGTTGACGCCATCCCACACCGTCCACCACTTTCTAATCCTACAAGTTATGTAGAGGACACGATTGCTGATAAGTTGCGTTCCCAAGTGACTATCAGTGATGTTCGTGTAGGACTTTTTACTACTTATACAGCCTGTATTTCGGCAGAAGAACTTAATCGTGTCCTCAAGACAAAATTTGACAAATCGCACGATGAAGCAGCTACGATTCTGTTGGATTTCTTAAAGAAGCGTGTACTCAACGTCGTTTTTGCTGAGAACGCTTTGCACCCAGATTTGGGTGCGAAGGACACGTTATTACGCTTTCAAGTGGATGAGTTGTTTGTTCCACTCAACATGAAATATGTCTGTGTGGACGAGATTCAGCTAAATCCACTAGAAATCTGTCTACGTCTTCGAGAAGCAATTGCTGAGTTACATGCTCTCAAGTCATTTCCACGCGGAATCGCCACAGGATTCAGTCTTCCGAATCACGTTTGTGTGTCAAATAAGAGTGCTATGGAGTATTTTGACGCACCGCTGAGCCAGAAATATCGTCGTTTTCTAAAATTGGGCTCAAAATTGCAAAAGGTTGACGTAGGCAGTCTGCCAAAGCACGAGCGCCAGCCTTTTTTCATCAATATTTACAATGCAATGGTGCTTCATGGACTCATCGAGTTTGGTGTCCCGCAGAACATTAGTCAGTACAAGGCTTTTGAGCGCGATGTGGCCTACACTATTGGTGGGCTAGACTTTACTCTTGGCGACATTAAACACGGTATTTTACGCTGCAATCGCAAGCCACCATCGAACTATTGGGAGCGCCAGCTGCAAGCACAAGATCCAAAATTGCAATTTCGGCTGCACATTCGTGACCCTCGCTCACTTTTGGTGCTTATTGACTGCGCCGAGCCCCTTCCTAGTGCGCAAGACGTGCCAATTCTGAAGCCAGGACGTACAGATACAGACCTCGAAGAACAGGCTGAAAAGTTCTGTAAACGTTTTGTTGAGGTGGACGAGCGTGCGGGAGAAATTGTGCTACCCCGAGTTCTTAGAATATTCCGCGATGATTTTGGATCCTCAGAAGCTGAGATGGTATCGTGGCTAGCACAGTACATGGATAACGCGCCTGCAAACCTGATGAACTACCGCGTAAGGTACCAGACTGGAATATCGTCGTGATTGAAGTGACGAGAAGCTGCTTTTGCCCACTTATTTAGGGTTGTAAAAGTTCGTATCATTTCTGTTTTTGCACGTTAAGATCGGTGTACAGATAGAGGTCCTGAGTGGCGCACCAATCTCCCATTGTGACGTTCTTACTATAGCGCTCCTTGTTGCGTGCGATAAGTTTAGCTTGAATGCACACCTAACGAGCGGTATTATTTATTGTGATAATTGCTTTTGTGTGGTTAAACTCTGATTGATAGCTTATGTAGCCAGTCTCCGCATCTTCATCTGTTTCAGTAGCTGACGAGAAAAAAAATTGTTGCTTTTGTTGTACTGTCATCGCATTTTCAAATGTCAAAATACGATCGCGTCTCCTTTCAACACGTGAAATTCTTAGAAGCAACTGAGTTTGATAGTAGAGCTATCTAATGTAGACTCGTCAAGTTAATGTCACCCAATGGAGCAGTACAAAATCTAGCCTTAAGGTTCTGAAATCTTCAAAGCATCGCAAAGGTTGATCCAGGTATTTTTATCGTTGCTTGGCGAGTATATGAGATGCGAAGTCACCGACGCGGATCATAGTCCGTCAAACAAGCAGACCTCTGCAGGGATAATTCTAACTGCAACGAAGATTATTTCTTCGCCGACTTTTTCAACTCAAGTTTACCTAAAAAATCCTTTTTGGACACGTTATAGGCCGATATGGTCTCGTCCGTGTCAGGCAATTCTTTCTCGATGTTCAAAAACAAAGGCATAACGATGTCTTGGTCGTTTTTACAAGACGCCTGCACATGTAAAATGGAGAGCCCCACAAGATCTGCTGGTTCCTTGTAAACGTGGATCTGGAATGACTGATTTTCGTACAAAAAACACATACGCTGTTGCTTTATCACGTTACGTGTCGGGTCAGAACGATGTTTGATGGCGAAAGAGTACTCACGTGCACTTAAAACTCGTTTGAGATGCACTCTATGCAGCAGAAGACATTAGGTTTGTAATCAACTCCGGAATGATATGACACCCACACATCGCCAGTGTCCAGGTAACGAACGGTTGTCATGCCATACGCAGGAATACCATACTGTGAACGGCAACGCACAAACGAATAGTCGTTGCTTGATTCTGCAATTTAAAAATTATAAATCGAAATCGCAGAGAATATTAGGTCAAGTGACTTACTAGCAGCTTCGGGTTTCAGGTATACCTTCTCCACCTCAAAATCTTCGTGGTGAAACGGGATGACGACTGGCGCCTTGGCTAGAAGGTACTTTCGTGATGCTTTGACCGTCGACGGTATACCACAAAGTCTCGCTGCCGTGTCCACCAAGCGCTGCATCTTGCCCTCAAACGTGGTCGAATTGTCTACAATGGAAAGAAGTATTAGAAATCAAATGTTGTTGCGATAAAAGTCTACCATTAGCCGTAAAGAGCGAGTAGCTCCTACCAAACACGTAGAGCTTAGGGTGTCCAATCCAGGCCCGGCAAGTCCGTTTGTCGATGGCACGCGCCTCTTCAATCGATTCAATACGAATTCCGTTATTCTCAAGCGAGTAAAATTTCTCTGCGCCATGAGCAGCTGTCACCAAATGAAAAATGGCAATATATCGACTACAACAAAAGGATAAGAGTGAGGACGCTTTTATACAGAATAAGGTTGGCGTTGCCACCTACGTATCTCGCAGCGTAACCGTGTCGAGGTCATGCTCAAGTTTAAGTATTTCCCATTGCTCGGGCGTCATGTAGGCTGAACCATCCATGACTCCGCGATCACATAAAATCACACAAGGTTTACCGCTATCTAGCGCAAGCGAATGAAATGAGTCTTCAAGCGAAATTTGAAGGCTTAAAATTTGCCATTGAAAGTTGAGAATATCTTTTTCCTGGAGGTCACTGCACAGTTGGTAAGAAATGAAAAGCATTGAACAGCTTATAACTACTACAACTTGAAAAATCTAACTTAAACGCAACGTACAGGAAAAATGCACCACCTGTTTGCAACAATGTTGAAGCCTCAGGCACGACGTACACTCGAAAGCCGCGATCACGGAAAAATGTGGAGAGGCGGTCGAGTGACGTTGTCTTGCCGGCGCAAGGGCCACCAGTAAGCACAAACTTATAAATTGGCGCTTCATCTTTCTGTCCGGATTGAAGTGGGCTAAGTAGCGGTAAAGGGGTATCGTTTGCCGACACGGCGCGGTCTTGCGACCACAATTTGCTTTTCATCGAGGCGCAGGCGAACCAAACAGATGGTATTTTTTTAATAATACTAATAATTGACCATATTGTGCAGTGTGATATATATTGGGATATATCTTTGTAATAGGCTGTGCACTAATTTGCAATGACACTCTCATCTATCATCTAATTTTGATTATAAATTTCTAGGCGTGTTGTTATTTATGGATCTGTGCTCAGGGTGAAAATCGAAAGCTTACTAAAAATTCTTGTGATAGCACATTTTCGTTTCTGACATAGGATATCACATGAGGCTTATATAACGTTTTCAAAAGAAGTTGTGTTTAATAAAATGAGGAAAAGGGTGATGAGCCCGACCAGAGAGTGCTTCAAGAATTACCTAATGTTACGTTTTGTACACATTATGACAATAATACAGTAGAACCTGTCTAAATTAAACCTGTTTAATTCAGACAGGTTCTACTGTAGCGACCTTTCCATTATTGCCAACGATGGGTCTTCAAAAAGAGCAGACGGTGTTGGGTGCGTTCATGTCAGCATTGTCAAAGGATCTTAAGGACAAGTCAACAAGAGAAGAGGAACTAAGAACCGTCCTGGAGCAAATTTTGCCTGTCCTGGTTCCAGGTAGATGCTGCCAATGTGATGTAATGTTTAGGCAAATGGTCATACTTACATCAAGAATGTGTTTGTTGTCATAGCAATCATACACTTGCTTAAAACTTTGGAGGCGCATGGTGAGCGGAATGATGATGCCGAAGGCAACGACACTATGATTTGTCCGTTGAATCACATTGCTCGCTTTATGCTTCGCTGCAATCTACGTTTTAACGAGTCAGAATGCTGCGTAAACCTTCAGAAGAAGCAGCAACCGTCGATATAAGCAACACTATAAATTGTTTCGCGTAAGAAGCATTAGAAATTTGTATTGCTTCTTTTCCAACATACATTTTGTCGATTTCCGTACGGTTTAAAAAATAATGTACGTACATTATTTATGTACATTATTTTTTATCCCATATAATGAGACTAGGGAGACGGCGACCGAGACATACCGGGCGAAGACTGAGGAGAGGCTGAAGGCATCGATGAGCCCGAATTCGCAGACCCATCATCCTCGCTGACTGAAGCCGAAGAATTTTCAACTGAATGCTGACTCAAATCGACTCCAGTAGAGCGCTCATCAATGGTACATGAGGCTCCTATTGGCGCTGGTGGCGGTAAAAATGCATGATCTAACGCATCCAAAGCAAAGTTGTCGTCCGCATCGAGCATCGGAAGATCGTCCAAAACCATTTCAAGTTGCTCATCCGATGGCACTTCGGTCATCATTTGGTTGGACACAGAGGGAGTTATTGGCATCATTGAGAGCGTCAATGCAGGCGATGCCGACGTTGCATGAGTTAAGGGTGAAGCTTCAGCTTTAAGAGCGTTGTTTCGAGTTATGTCCGTAAAAGTCTTTTTGATAGAAGTGCCGGTTTCACATTCCTGCTTAAAAGCAACTTGGGGAAGCAACTGCGCATTAGTAGTAGTGTTGTTCCTAGAAGTACGAACAGCATCCATTAGCGCACCATCACAGGAGATAAGCACTTGTGCTGGTGTTGACGTTGGCGTTGGTGTTGGCATCGGCGTTGGCATTGGGTTCTAAAAATAAGACAGAAAAATATCAAAGACAATAATGTATTTAGGGAGCAGTGCACCCCAGCTTACGACTCGAGCGGGGTACTCAGACAGCAACTCTAATGGCGCAGCCATATGTTGGCGCACACTGCGCGTCATGCGTCCAACTTCGCCGGCGCCTCGCTTGCGACCTGTCGTCCGAAAGTACGAGAATCAGCAGGCAATAAAGCTTATCGACTCGCCAAATTTGGATACCCCTCACCTTTCGCCTTCTTAAGCACTCCCTTCTGCAGCGCGTCTGTAGGATTCTACGCTTGAAATTGAACATTTTAGTTATATCGTGCCGTCAAGCTTATGATTACGTTAAGCCCAGCGCCAAACCTCGTGGTCTAACAAATCCAAAAATGCTAAGTCAGGTTTGAGTCTCCTTTCCTCGCATTACTGCATCGTACCGGGTATCCACTTAGCAATTGTCAAATGGCCAATATTTTTTAACTGCCTAGTCCATCTTCGCGTGCGTATCTCCGAGACAGGGTTGCCAGGGAGCACGCCATGGGTCTCCCGCCTAGATGCCCATGCTGACATAATTCCGCTAAATTTCAGAGTTAAAAGTATTTTTAGAATTACATAGTTTCAAAATATAGTTGCTGGTTGTCGAGACAGGTAATGCAACTGAGTGCAGTGCCAATTTATAAATTGACAATGAAAAAGAAAGGATTTTATCTTTATATATACCATTATTCTCCCTAAAAAAGACACTATTTAAAATAAGAAGGGTCTTCCAAACTCCCTAAAATGTTTTAGGACAGTGACAGCGCTGAACGGTGTTCGGTCTTAAGCCTGCTTCACGAATACTACCCTATCCTAGGTATGGAAGTTGTCATTACTTATCTTCTAGTCCATTTAGGAGAATCATGAACCAAGTTCTGATGAGAAAGGAGGAACATTGTTGGTACGGACAAAGCTTCGATGCTAAATATGAAATTAAGCAAAACAAAATTCTGGGAGCTTCGATGGGGTTCGTAAGACAGAAGCAGCTGTAAGTTGTAAGCCTGAAAGAGATTTCGTTGCTCAGAGAGCGCATCAGAGATCTGACCTATCTCAATTCCGTACCTTAGACAAGGCAATCAGAGGGTCGATGAACACTAGGGAAGCTGTGACTCCCAGAGTCCGCTACATTACCACCAGAGTTGATTTCATGCGCTCTCATCAAGGGCGGAATCTAGAGCCTCTCAGTTAACTAACGCTTTCATTAGCTCAGCTATTTATATCATTATAATACAGGACAAATGCAACCGAAGTTGTATTTCTCTAGATTCTGAAACGCTGATTGGTTGTAAATTAGAATTGGCATGGTACCAGTGGCGATCAACAGTAGAACACTAACATTCCCAATGGTTCCGAATGCAACAATGGTTGCATACTGCGTTGCTTTTTTTAGTAAGAAATGCAACCGCAGCCAATGCAAAGTTCAAGCGACGTTCACTGGGTTGCATTTCGAACTTTGTCTCAGAAAACCAACGACCATGCCTCTCGTGCGGGCTACACCAGTGATGTAGCAATCGACAAAGTTTATGCTGCTTACGGTCG